CCCCATTTTCATGTGTTTGTCACTGGTTTTTGTAGCCCAATCCAGCGCCATCTTCTTCCTCTGATTTCCTCTTCTGCTGATAATTGCTGTGTTTCAACCATAGCTTGTTGTTACTGCTCCATTTATGAAGTGCGCTCAAATCAGACAATCTGTTTTTGGGCTCTACCAACTGCAGAGAAAAATGTCATTGTATCTGCTGCTACATGTGTATGGGGTGTATGGGAGGGGTAATACCTCTGAAGGGGCAGCAGTCGTACTCCAAAGTTGGTCTGCTTTGGTCCCCACCTGCACCCAGGTCTCACTTGTGGCTCTTCGTAGCAGTTTGTATGCAACAGCGGCCACACCCCAGGCAACGGCTTCGACTGGCCGGCTAGACCAAGTGACAGTAGCTGACGGGTCTCAAACCCTCAGTGAGTTAGGGCTTGCCTACCTACGCATACGAAGACTGGACTCCAGATGAAACCACCAGATTGGTTCAGCGGAGAAGAAGGCGGTTACAGCAAGGCACTGTGGAGTGGACAGGGCAAGATGAGGCACCAAAGGACATCTTGGTCATCTACTGCATCCGTTTCTGTCTCCAGCGGTCTTGACCTGGTCTTGCCACTCGATCTAGATGGTCTCGGACGAGAGAGTGAGGTCAACGGTGCGCAACTCTTCTTCACTTTAATGTTTTCATCGCGCAAGTCATCTACCATCCCAATCCCATCCCTCACCAGACTACCCCCACCCCAGGATGACTAGATGATCCTCGTCGCATTGATGGACGAACAACATGCTCTGTTATATTAACATATAATATTTACTAGCCATTTGATGATTTCCTCTGTGGTTTAGTGCCGGATAACGGAGGAACTTCAGAGCTGGGTGACTTCTCTTGCAATTACAGAGTTATTTGCTAATATAAAAATGTTAAAGAGGGCAGCAATTATGTTGAAATATCCTAATCATAGACATGATTCTTCAGAAAACTCTTGTGCTGTTATGGAAGGCACCGACAAACCTCTTATGTGAACGCTGAAGTACGAACACTTGTTATATTCTGTTTACTGGACGCCCTGCATAGTTGACCTGAGCCCAGCAGCTCCTCTTGCTTTTGCAGCAGTCCTTTCATGGAAGTGAGAGCAGTTGCCTCTCTTTGTCCTGAGCTGATACACATCTATTGTCACAGTGTGCTTAACTTAAGAATTTTTATTTTCTACACTGCTGGGAAGTTGTTGAGCCAATGTTCACCTCAGTTAAGTAAGAAAATACAGTTGATGCATCATAATTAGATGGACAGATTAATGGATTAGAGATAAATGGAGGATTTTTACAGTTAATACCTCGACTTGGGTGGTCTGTTTAATTCAAATGGTTCATTTTGCGGTTCTGACAGAGCTGGTGAAAACCTGCCAGCCAGGATGTTTATGTAGGTCACTTCTCTGAAATTCACCATTCGTCTTTGCACTTTGGTGGATTATTTCGCAAAGCGGAGCTCTGAGATAAAAACTCACTAGAAACATGGGGGGAAACAAACAACACAAAGGTTTTGTGGTTTCCCAATTGCTGACAAAGTATAAGCAGAGATGTGTGCTGATGTTCAGATAATGTTCTATACATCCTGGATGCTTCGGGTCATAGAGTGCCACATCTAAGTGTGCGTACATGCATCAAGTGAATTTCACATATAAAACTGCATTTTATTGGTTATATACTCCAAGCGTATTAAACAAAACCTCAGAATGTTTGTACACGTGGTTGTACGGGGCTGCAGTGCTTCATATCTTCACCATATTTGCACTAATACCTCCGGGCTTTGTTTACGTAGCCTCCCCAACCTATCCAGGGAAGATGATACCAAAACTGTTGATTGAGTGTAAACAAACAGACAGATAAATCTAACTGCCAGTTTAGAGAAAGCATACAGGAGAAACGTGCTTGTCTTTCCAGAAACCCCGACATGAGGAAACTTCCTGTAATTGTTTATGTGATGATGTGTTGAGCACTTTAACTCATTTTGGTTCAAATACTGAGGAGTGAAACTGTGGACATTCCAGCTGATTCCACAACCACAAGTCATCTTCATCGATTGGGAATTCACAGTAACTTGAGACATCATGGGAACTATTCCCTGAAATGATCTGCACAGCCTTTCAAATCTGTCCATCCATCCATTAGTTGTTGTTATTGTTATTCTGTAGAAGGTTCCAGAGGGCTGGAATCCCAGCGCTGTCTTGTATTTGAGGCCAACCGCTGAACCACCTTACAAATCATACAGGGACATTTTTCCACACTACATGCCTTAAGAGGGCTATTTTGAATTAAAAGACATAATAATTGTTGAGCTGTCATACCATATGTGCAGGGTGAAAGCCGAACTATTTGCCACAACAATTGCCTTCATGCAAAGTTTGAAAATTTGGCATCTTTCCCATTTTTTTTTCTTTCTCGTTTTTCCCACTCACATAATCCAGGCCGGGCGGCAGTATGGTGCAGTGGTTTGCACTGTCGCCTGTGTGGGTTTTCTCCAGATGTTCCGGCTTCCTCCCACAGTCCAACGATGTGCACAGTCACTTATAAGTGGTGACTGTGAATTGGCTGTTGGTGTGAGTGTGCGTGGCTGTCTGTCTTTCTGTGTTAGCCCTGTGATCGACTGCTGATCTGTCCACTGGAATGAGCTCCAGTGGATGAGCTAGCCATGGATGGATAGTTCAGGCAGCAATTACATTTGGGATAACAGAGTTTATTATTTAAATATAACCAGAGTTTCTCGTAGACACCAGTAAACAGAGATGATGCCACCAAATCAATCTTTGTTTACACTCAGCTTGTAAAAATTGATATTTTGACAGGAACCTGAACACAGTATTTCATCTAGCTGGGAATTTGATATGAACCTCCATGTGAAGGCAGGTCGCCCACTCACATTCACACCTATGGACAATTTAGAATCACTAATTAACCTCAACATGTTTTTGGACTGTGTGGGAGGAAGCTGGAGAACCCGAAGAGAACCCACGTTGCACAGGGAGAACATGTAAACTCCACGCAGAAAGATCCCAGGTGTCCTCACCGGGATGTGAATCGAGCCACCTTCTTGCTGCAAGGCAACAGTGCTAACCACCGAGCCACCTTGCAGCCTCTGATATGAACCTAATTAAAGTAAACAAAAGCATGAGTCCACACTGTAATCAATCAATCAATCAATCAATCAATCAATCAATCAATCAATCAATCAATCAATCAATCAACTGTCAAAATAACAGCAAATATTTGTAAAATCATGACATTTTAAGCTGATTTAAATACAATAAAGCAAATTAATATTTTTAAAAATGCTGATTTGTGATATTGTTGTTTATGGTTTAGGCCTGTTTTTTGTTTTGTTTTTATACAGTCAACACATAAATGAATTATTTCTTTCTGTGATTTTACTACATATCATCTGTAATTAATTAATACTAGCAATAACTGGCTTAATATGCATAATTTGTCTTTCAAAATAATGTAAAATATCATGAAAACAATTATGTTTTACTGATTCAAATAGAGCAAAAAAAGCTTTGTAGCTATATGGTCAGAAGTTATAAAAGAACAAATCATATTACTGCTATTACTGGTCTGGGTTTTGTTTTTTCCGTTTAGTTTTTTCCGAGTCGTTGTGCTCCCTCTGCCACAAAGGGGTTCGAGGTGGAGGTCTGAGGCATCACCTCTCACCTGTTTACAATTCAGTCTAAAGAACTCTCCCCAGGAAGATGAAACCACTTTCACATCTAGCCACAAGAGTTCTTAACGAACCCCTTTGTGGCAGGGGGAGTCCTAACAACAAGCATAATGAAGGGGAGGAGCAACAAAACCCCCAGTTGAAACTGAAAGTGTTAATGGCTCTGAAAGGATATAAGTATCTGGAACTCCCAGCTAGTCAGTCAGAACTGATGAAGCCTCTTGGATGAGAGGTGGAACATCTTCAAGAAACTTAAGCAAGTCCAGCTGCGACGATGAAACTTCAAGAATAACTTTATTGCCTCATTACTCAAGTGCGTGTCTTATATCCTCATCCTCTTACCCCCACCATTATTCTCCCTTTGCCTTCTTTCCGACTCTGAGCATATTTACCAATAATCCTGTCAGTTCAGCGAACATGCTGGAGCTCACACACAGACACTCGTGCGTAGTGTGATACATCCTTAATCACACACCCGACCCGTTAAACGCCATCATGTTTGTCACGTGCAACGAACTAAAAGTAAAGCCACCTGTTTTCAACTGACCATCAGGAAAGTGATTAAAAAGTACAGCCTGAGATTGATTTAGTCGTTTTACTGTATGATCGGGTCCCAGTAGGAGTTGTGGTTTCGGGGAACTGGTGACACACATTTCTCCCTTTTTTTTTATTAAGGAAACTGTAGTTTTGGGGGAAAATGAATAAACAGTAGAGCGACTAATACATTAAGCAATACATGTTGTAAATCTGAGGTGAGTCGTGTGATTAGTCAATTCTCCGAAGAAAGTCACATTACTTGGCAGCCATGTAAAGGTGAGGTATTATTGTGGTCACACCCTGGTTGCCGTAGATACCGCTATGTGTTTTACCCCACCTTCCCTAAATCAACATCCAAAAAGCTGCCAACGTGTGTGGGTTGTTGCACTTAAGTGGAATCAGGAACGTTAATCAGACATCAAGCTTTAAAAGAAACATGTTACATGTGGTTCCATCAGTGGTGTATTAGTCCGGATGACTAAAGGAACTTCAGAAGCAGCCCGATGATCCACACCTGGTTGCATATAAGGCGTTTTGGCAACACACCCCCTGGCATTAACTCTCCCACAGAAGGCGCCTTTTTTGGCTTTGTGTTGCCTGGAAAAACACACTGGCATACCGTCAGCGATGCAAGGAAAACCCTCAGGCACAGACTCTCTCTCCATCATGAGTCAGATGCTGTCTGGCTTTACTCCAGCGACACTGTAGCATTAGTAGCCTGAGCATGTTGAAGTTAAGACAACCAGCAGTGATAAAGAGAAGCAAAGAAAGAAGTTCTTCACACCCTTTTACTTCAGCGCCGCGGCAGTCGGGCCAGGATGAGGTGCTGACATGGGAAATAAAGGCTACCAGTCCACATACAGGTGAAACAGGACAATGACCTTCAATTTCAAGTCGCTACCTATACACAGGTGAGTTCCACGTAAATTAATCCTCTGTTTAAAGGCAGATACATATGTGAAGTTTTGAAGGTTTGAGTTAGATTTGAGGAGGGAGGACACGGAGGTCAACAGCGGAGATGGGAAAAGTTCATTTGTCCCATTAAGAAGTTAATCTGGTATTTGTAAAGCACTCGGATCTGCTAAATGTTATATTAAAACATGTTGTCTGATTGTTTTTAACTGTTAAAATCCATAAACTAGTTTAGATTTTGTTTCCTCTGTGACCTATCTGTCATAGTGTGTCATATGCTGTTTATGAGAATCCGTTTTCCAACAACATCACACTTATGTTTTCAGTGGAATTGAAACTGGTTCAAATTTAACCTGAGTCATCTTATATGATATCTGTGAAACTGAAGAATTTTTTGGTGACTTGTCCGGACCTATTTAGATGACACTGTAGTGTGGTCGGTAAAAAAAAAAGTGTCAAGAGAATTATGTGGAATCTAGATAAGCCGCTGGTGAGTGTTTGTGATTCAGCAGAGACAATATTTAGACGTGAAAAAAGACACTGAGCTTGTTGAACTCTCTGCAGATCCCATCAAGTTCTGAGGTCGGTCTGGGAGATCAGCTTCCAGCGCTGGCCCGGTTCGACTGCAGGAGGCGTCCTCTCCAGAGAATGGCTTCGTCGCTTCTTGCTGCTCAAGCTGCTGACTGTGCTGCTGTTCCCTCATGGAGCAGGGCTCCCCCTGCTGGTGGGCTGCGTGTTCAGCCTGCACGCCTTCTTGCTGCTGCGCTCCCCTCACATCTCCACCAAGCCCTCCACTGTGCTGCTGGGTCAGCTGGCCCGCACGGACGGCGTCGTGCTGCTGCAGTGGGCTCTCCGGCTGGGAGCGACGCTGGGTCACTGGGTGGAGGACTCGGGCTGCGTGGGCGAGATGAAGGGAGGTCGGCCGGTTTGGTGGAGGGAGGCCGTGAGCGTGCTCTGTCAGCAGCTGCTCGATGCTCACCACCTGGCCTCTCTGCTCCTGCTGGGGCTGCTGGGACTGGAGGCCACGCTGGTGTCACGCTGGCCTCAGCAGACTCGCAGGTTCAGGACTTCTCACTGGGCGCAGATCAGCTGTGGTCTGGTTTGGACACTTGTGCTGCTAGAACTCGTGTCTTTGCTTTACTTGAAACTCGTGCAGGACCTCAGACATGAGACGTACCCAACAGCACTTCAGGACTCTCAGACTTTCTCTCTGGGCCTCCCGACCTTCTGCCTCTGCCTGAGGAGGATGTTGTGGCTGGTGAACTCATGGCTGCATTATGCCGTCTTCAACAGTAAACCGCAGAGGAGAAAGAGCTCGTTTCATTAGATGTCTGTCAAAGTACATGCTGTATGTTTCTATGTTAATAATATTTTAATATCATATTTAATAAATGTATTTGATACGGTACATTTTGTATAAGATGTGATATTTATTTCAAATGTTATGTTGTATGTG